GGGCCCGGCGTGCGCCCGCGGCCCTGTGTGTGCCCGGCGCCGGCGTGTGCGGCGCCCCGCTCGTGTGGCCATCGGTGTGTGCTGGGTGTCGAGCCGAGGTGCTGTGTCCGGCCGTGCGTGCGTGTCCCCCGAGTGGCTGCCCCTCCGGCTGTGTGTCTGGGGGGCTGTCGCGCGCCCATCGGAGGGCTGTGTGCAGGTGTGTGTGCGTGGGTTGTGTGCCCAGGTGTGGGTCCCCCCCAGCGAGTGTGTGCGCGCGGCCAGCTGCGTTGGGTGTTTGTGTCTGGGTTCGATGTCCATCCGAGAGTCTGTGTAGCCGGGTGTGCCCGCTCGGTTGTGCATTTGTATGTGTGTCCGCGGGTTGGATGTCTCCGAGGGTGTGTGTCTGTGTGTCCGCCTCAGGTTCCGGGCCGGGGGCTGGGGCTTGGCGCCTTGTGGGTCCAGGCCTCTGTGTGGGTTTGGGGGAGGGAACGTGCCGCTCCCTTGGTCCATGTCAACTGGAGGGGTCCTCAGCGGTCCTTGGGGGAGACGGCCATGTCTTCCCCTTCCCGGTGGCTGGGTAGGGGGGATGGGCCGCCGGTAGGTGGACAGATGGAGGGATGAGAGGCCGAGGGATGGACAGATGGGCCCGAGGGGAGGAACATAGACCCGGCCTTTCTCCACCCACCCCACCCCAATCCCCCCTACCTGCCAGATCTCCGCAGATGGGGCCAGAGCTGCCTGCATCCAGATGGCCAGGCTGGGGGACCTTTGGGCTGCTGGTGGGAGGATCTAGGACTGGTGCTGTAGGACTCAACCCTCCAACCCTCTGAGATTCGACCTGCTGAACTCTGACCTGTGGCACTGCCTTGAGCCCTGGTTGGTGGGAGGGGGGGATGTTAGCATTTCTTTGGCCTGGGAAGTAGGAGGGGTGAGGGTGCCTCAGGGCTGGGAGGAATGTGTGTCCACGGCTGTGTGTGTGAATCTGTGCCTATCTGTAGACTCTGCCACTGTGGGTCAATATTTTGTGTGCATTTGTAAGTGTGTAAATCCCTTCTAGGGCTGTTGTGTGAGCATGTGTCTATTATGAGTGAACATCTTAGAGTGTCTGTGCAAAGGTGAATCTTTTTGTGCCTGTGTGCTCGTTTGAGTATGTATCAGCCTTGTCAGTGTCTGTGTACGCTTGTGGTTCTGTGTACGTGTGTGAGGTGTGTATCAGCTAGTGTGTGCATTGGAGCATCTGTTGGTATAGGAATGTATCAGCTTTGTGACCGCGCATCACAGGGATATGTGAAGTTGTATGAGTGTGTTTGGGCATTTAAGAGTGTGCACCTGTGTACCTTTGATTGTGCAAGTGAGTATCTGTTATATGTGTGTGCCCTCTGTTGGTGAGTGTGCAAGGGTATGTCTGTTACAGGTGCATGTCCCTAGTTGTCTGCAAGGGGGCACATGGGTTTCTCTGTTGTATGTGTGCATCTGTGTGTGTGAATGTGCAAGGGAAAGTCAGTGTTGTACATGTGTGGTTGTGTGCAGGTGTGTCGACCTGGAGGGCATGTGTCTGTCCATGTTGTGAGTCCATTTAGGTGTCAGTGTTGGTCTCTCAGGAGTGGGGTTGGGTATGTTCAAACATAGATGAGCAGGGTGATATGCCCACACATGTCTGTGTCCCCAGCACAAGGCTGACCCCGCTTCTGGGCCCAGTGAGATTGAGGCCCAGACCTGTGGCATGACATGTGGTGTGCTGGGGTCCATGGACACAAGTGTGTTCACGTCCCAGGCCAAGAGCCCATGGAGGACGGGTGGCACGCGGATCATGCTGGCGTGTCCATGGAAATCCAGATGCAGAGATTGGGTTGTGGGCCCGTAAGGGTTTTGGCATGACCACACGCGTTGGTGTGACAATCGTGTGATGGCGAGGATGGGACCGCTGGCTCTTCCCCAGCTCCTAGTACCACTCAGGTGTTTGAAGTTGGGGACCTGGGATGTAAACTCGGGAATGAGGAGGCTGGGAGCCTAGACTCCTAGAACTGAAGAAGGGGGCTGGGTCTTGAGAAAGGAAGGGCCTGAGAGCTGGACTCTTGAGTCTGAGGGAGGAGGAAGCTGGGGTCTCAGACTCTAGGGTCTTGAGGAGGAGGAGGCTGGGGTTCCTGGCCTCTTGAGCTCCCAGAGGACAAAGGGCTAAAGTCCTGGACTCTTGGGTTTTGGAGAGTGAACAGCCCTGAGGCCCAGACTCCTCGTCTTCCAGAGATGACTTCCTGGGTCCATCTGATACTATGCAGAGCCTGAAGCAGGAGGGCCGAGAGAGTGGTCACACTGGGGACTTCCTTGGCTGAGCTGGTCTCCCAGGAGAGGAACCAGGAGGATGCTAACAGGGTCGTTGTGTTCCTTTGCAGGTACTGGCCCAGGCCCTGACTCCCTGCAGAGAGGTGAGTGGGGTCCCTCAGGCTGGGGAGAGAGATGTGGAGTGAGTGGGCTTGTTCTGAGCCGGCTGGAGGCCTGGAGCCCTGCCTCATGTGAATTTCAGTGCAGGGTATGGCAGCATCCTGAGGGGCCAGGTGCCCCCCAGGCTGGGGGTGGTGACAAAGTCAAGGAGCATCATGTTCAGGTAAGGGCTCGTGGTGCAGCCAGGGCGTGGGTGGCAGGTGGGGGTCTCAGGCCAGGAGGCATCCCCTCTCAGGATGGGTAAGATGGTAGGGAAGTGGGGGTTTTCTTACGATCTCAGTAAGGGTGCAGGAGTTTCAGGACATGACATGACATGACCCCTGCATTTGGAGAGTGGCATGGACATGGTTTGTTATTTTGTGTGTGTATGTGCCTGCATGTGGGAAGATCTCCTGATATTCCAACCTGCTGCTGGATGAGAGAGAGCCAGAGAAAATGATAAATTAATAATAATAGCAGCTAACATTTATGTAGCCTTTGCTCTGTCAAGAACTATTCTAAGCGTGTAACAGTGTAGCATCTCATTTAATCCTCCCAACGACCCTATGAAGTAAGTGCTATCATTATCCCTATTTTATTGATGAGCACACTGAGGCAAAAAGAGGGGAAGTCACGCAGCAGGGAATTGGAGTGTGAACCCGGACAGTCGGGTCCAGATTGTGTCCTGCAGTGCTGCAGTGCCTATCCATAAATGTTAACTATTTTCATTGCTATTATCATTCTTTCGACTTGAATCCCACCCCAGCTGTGGCAGGGGAAACTCTGTACTTCTGTTTCATAGATCAAGATGCTGAGCCCTAGAGACCCCACAGCTGAGCAGGTGCAGAGCTGGGCCTCTTAACTCAGGAGTTCCGCCTTCCAGGCCAGGGTGTTCTGTCCACACAGAGCAGTGTCCCAGAACGGGTGCAGGACAAATCAGTGTGTGTGTGTGCTGGGGGGGCTCAGAGGGGGTGGGCGCCCTGCCTCTGCCTTTTTCTCTCTCCAGCCCAACCACTGTCTCCCTCGATCTCTTTCTTCCTCGTCTTTGTCTCTCTAACACTCTTGTTCTCTCTTCCTGTCTCTCCCTCTCGCTCGTCCCCTCTCCGTCTCTATGTCTCAGCATCTCTTTTCTGTGTCTCCCCTCTGTTCTCAGTTTTTCTCTCTTTGCTTCAGCCTCGCTCCCTGTCTCTTCACCTTTCTTTCAGTCTTTGTCTTTTCATCTCTCTGTCTCTCTCTCTCTGAATTTGTCTCTCTGTTTCTGCCAGTCCATCTTTCCCTCCCCTTTGTCTCTCCCTGTCTCTTCACCTCTCTCTCTGACTCTCTTGGCCCCTCCTCTGTGTCCCCCCTTCCCCATGTGCTGAAGGATCAGGGCTGCATCAGGTCACAGCCTCAAACTGCAGATTCCCGGGAGGTGGGCCAGCGGGGACTGGGGTGCGGGGTGGGGTGAAGACAGTTCCAGGGCACCCCCTTCCCATCGTTTCCTCTTCACCCCCCACCCACCCCGTGTTGTGATGGGAGCTGACATGTCGTGGGCTGCAGCCGCCTCGGGGGAATCCCTGCTGGAAGGTTTTGCCTGGAGCAGAGGCATAGCGTGAGTGTGTGAGTATGTGTGTGTGTAGGCATATATGGGGCCTTGTGTGTGCCCACTAATGTGAGCATGAAAGTCTGCCCCCTGCTTGGGAGCTCAGCAGAGCCCAGGATGAAACCAGGCTCCAAGAAGGACTTCCCAAGGCTGAGCAGGGAGACTCATGTGTTTTTCCAGCCCCTCCTACCTTCAGACTCCCTCTGCCCCTGCCAAGGGGGGTGGGGGTTGTTACCCGTGATATTTACTGCATATTGACTGTGTACCAGGCCCTGTGCTCAGTGGCCCCATGAATGAGCTCACTGAACCCTTGCAACAACCCAGTGAAGATGGCACAATTATCATCCCAGTTTACAAATCAGGAAATTATGTCCTTGTTAGGGGAAATCATTGGTTTGGGGTCATGGAGCTAGCAAGTGGGGGACCCAGGACTTGAACCTGAGTCTGTTTGATTTCAAAGCCCTGGCTCTTAATAACAGTGTACACTTCTATGCCTGGCACATAGCGGACACTCAATGATGATGATAATTACTAACGTGTATTGAACACATTTTACGTGCCAGGCACTGTTCTAAGTACACTATGCTCATTAATTCATTGAATCCTCACAGAGGTAAGGCCTGTTTTTATCTCCATTTTACAGATGAAGAAACCGAGATTCAGAGAGGTTCAGACATTTGCCGGAGGTCACACAGCTAGTAAGTGTCAGAGCTGGAATTTGAACCCAGGGAGTATGGCTTTGAAATTCACGACCTTAAACTCTAGTCGGCAGTGATTTTTAAAAATATTTAGTGGGTACTGGAAGGCCCAGGCTGGGCTAGGTGTCACCCCTCTGGTCTGGGATCTCCTAGAGGAGGGGCAGAGGTGGAGAAGGGCACTGGGAGGTGGGGCAGTGGTAATTTACCAACCAGCTTGGGAATATTATCTATTAACCACATGCATGCCAGCTAATGATCAGTCCTGTCTCTGTCCCATAAGCCCTGGTTGTCAGGAAGGGAGGGATCTGGGTCAGACTCCTAGCAGGACATCCCAGGGCGGCCAGGCTGGCGGTCAAGCCCTATGCCTGGGTAACCCTTCTCCTTCCTTGCAGATCTCACCTCCCCCTACTCCCGCCTTCCCCCTGCACCATGGCTCCGGGCCCCTTCTCCTCCGCGCTCTTCTCGCCGCCGCCCGCTGCCCTGCCCTTTCTGCTGCTCCTCTGGGCGGGGGCATCTCACGGCCAGCCCTGCCCCGGCCGCTGCATCTGCCAGAACGTGGCGCCCACGCTGACCATGCTGTGCGCCAAGACCGGCTTGCTCTTCGTGCCGCCGGCCATCGACCGGCGCGTGGTGGAGCTGCGCCTCACCGACAACTTCATCGCGGCCGTCCGCCGCCGGGACTTCGCCAACATGACCAGCCTGGTGCACCTGACCCTCTCCCGGAACACCATCGGCCAGGTGGCAGCCGGCGCCTTCGCCGACCTCCGCGCCCTGCGCGCACTGCACCTGGACAGCAACCGCCTGGCCGAAGTGCGCGGCGACCAGCTCCGCGGCTTGGGCAACCTCCGCCACCTGATCCTTGGCAACAACCAGATCCGCCGGGTGGAGTCGGCGGCCTTCGACGCCTTCTTGTCCACGGTGGAGGACCTGGACCTGTCCTACAACAACCTCGAGGCCCTGCCGTGGGAGGCCGTAGGCCAGATGGTGAACCTCAACACCCTCACGCTGGACCACAATCTCATCGACCACATCGCCGAAGGGACCTTCGTGCAGCTTCACAAACTGGTCCGCCTGGACATGACCTCCAATCGCCTCCATAAACTGCCCCCTGATGGGCTCTTCCTGAGGTCGCAGGGCACCGGGCCAAAGCCGCCCACGCCGCTCACGGTCAGCTTTGGCGGCAACCCGCTGCATTGCAACTGCGAGCTGCTCTGGCTGCGGCGGCTGACCAGAGAAGATGACCTGGAGACGTGCGCCACCCCCGAGCACCTCACTGATCGCTACTTCTGGTCCATCCCGGAGGAGGAGTTCCTGTGTGAACCCCCGCTGATCACGCGGCAGGCGGGGGGCCGGGCGCTGGTGGTGGAGGGCCAGGCGGTCAGCCTGCGGTGCCGCGCGGTGGGTGACCCCGAGCCGGTGGTGCATTGGGTGGCCCCTGACGGGCGGCTGCTGGGGAACTCGAGCCGGACCCGGGTCCGGGGGGATGGGACGCTGGATGTAACTATCACCACCTTGCGGGACAGCGGCACGTTTACTTGCATTGCCTCCAATGCCGCCGGGGAAGCCACGGCACCCGTGGAGGTGTGCGTGGTGCCTCTGCCGCTGATGGCGCCCCCGCCGGCCGCCCCGCCGCCTCTCACCGAGCCTGGCTCCTCCGACATCGCCACGCCCGGCCGACCTGGTGCCAACGAATCGGCCGCTGAGCGGAGGCTCGTGGCAGCCGAGCTCACCTCAAACTCCGTGCTCATCCGCTGGCCAGCCCAGAGGCCCGTGCCCGGCATCCGCATGTACCAGGTCCAGTACAACAGCTCCGCCGATGACTCCCTCGTCTACAGGTGGGTGCTGCTGTCCCAGGCCCTCCTCCCTCCCATCTGCCCACTCCCTTGGCCTTCTTGCTCAGCTGGGGTTCTGGACGGGCATGCAGAGTCCTCTTGGGCTCTCATTTACCCTGTGTCCTCTCTTTCTCTCTGTCTCACTGTTGCTTCCTGTTTTTCATGCATTTAGCAAATCTTTGTTGAGCACCCACCTGACCCAGCCCAGGGCTGGGCACTGGAGTTACAACAGTGAATGTGCCCACATGATCCCTGCTCCCAGGGGCCTCAGGGTCTACGTCACTGCTCACCAAAGGTGCTAGATCGTGTACCTTGTCAGATAAACATTTTGGAACATGAAATACACAAACATATATTTACAGTTACACTTATCTTTATAAATATACCAGTGCTATTGTATCAACACATTCGGTACATTATAGAAACAGAAAACAGAAAGTATGAGAAAAATATATAAGTTATTTCCACCCTCCACTGGGTTAGAAACCACTGCCCTAGTGTGGACAGGCCTGTATGGTGTAGACAGACATTAAAGAGTTCCTTTCTCCCATCATCTCTTATTCTCTTGCTCTGGCCTGTGTCCCTGACTGTACCTTCTCTCCCTCCTGCCCTCCTTAGGCACTGGGCCCCTGCTCTGTGCTAGGCCCTGAGGGGGGCACTGGGGACACAAGGAGACCAAGAGACCAGTCCCTGCCCTCAGGGAGCTCACAGCCCAGCGGGAGGCAGATAGTACACAATGAATTATTGCCTTGGCCTTGCAGTGTCCTCCATCTCAGCAGTTTTTTGAGTATGACTCACGGCCACAGACCTGGCACACAGTGGGCACTTGAGAAGGCATTGCTGGCTCTGTGGACAATGTTCCTTCTCCCTGGCTCTGCCTCCCTGGTGCACTTCATAGAGCGCCTGCTGAATGCTTAGGCCTAGGTTTGACTTCAGGCTTTTGGCTTTTTGACTTCAGGTTTGACTTTTTGAAGCTGGTCGCCAAACACTGAGTAAATGCCTACTGTATGCCAGATTCCATGCTGGGCCCTGGGCCTACCGAGATGGATCAGACACTGGCCCATGTTACGAACATTAGGGCATCAGACACTGGCCCATGTTACGAACATTAAGGCAAACCAAACAAAACCTTTATAAGGTACTTCCAAGGATGCTACCTCATTCAATCTTCCCAACTCTGCTGTGGGGCAGCGAGGAGCCCCCCTCCCATTTTATAGATAGGAAAACTGAGGCTCAGTGGGGGGCAGTTACTTGCCCAAGGTCACACAGAAAGTGGCAGAACCAGGATTCCAGCCCTGACCCTTCTGACTCCTAATCCTGCCCTTTTTATGTCGAACACACATTTATTGAGCACCTACTGTTTGCCAGGCAGGGATGGAGGGGAGCTAGATAATACCTTTCTGGAAATAATTCTGGTTTCTGTGACTCTCCACCTCTCTCTTTCTCCCTTTCCTTCTCTCTCTAACACACGGCCACTTCATGGTGGGGTGGGGGGAGGCCCACAGGCCCCCAGACCCTGCATGTGTGCAGATGTTGATGGCCTTCTGTCCCCAGCTGGGTATTCTTCCCTTCCCCTTAGGGCCACAGCTCCAGTCCTCCGTCCCCCATTGCAGACGCCTGTGCTATGGCACTGCAGGAGTTACCTTCCTCACTGCTGCCGTGGGCAGAGACCACATCCAACCAGGAGCCTGCTCTGCTGCTTGCCTGGGTCTGGCAGCCAATTAGAGACACATGGGCTCAAGCTTTCTTAAGGAGCCAGCCTCTGTCCTTGAAAAGGGGGGAGTCCCTAGCAACTGGTTATTTTGGGGCTCTGAGAGGGGAGATGAGAGGAAGAGGAAGGCTTGCAGCCAGGGACCCAAGGCTGGATGGGGTGGGGGCAGCGGACTGTGAAATGGCAGGCAGGGGGAGAGCTGGAGAAGTGGGTGGGCCTTGATGAGGGGGTGGGGCTCTTACTTGAAGTCTCTTGGTTGGAGGGTGGCTCTTGGTGGTGGGGGAACCTCCTGGAGGTGGGAAGCTGAGGTGGGCTCCAGGACTGCAAGGTGGCCTGGCTGGAGAGGAGGTGGAGTGTCTGAGAGGTAGGAGGCCTGTGGAGATGGGGCGTGGCCTTCAGAGGAGGTGGGGCTCCTGCTGTGTGCTCCTCCGCAGATGAGGAGACGGTCCTTGTCTCCAGTGACCCACTAAGAGATTTGCAGGAGAGGAGAGCTTGTGAGCTTGAAATGCAAATCCACGGGGATGTGGCAGTCCTGGGTTAGCCAAGGCTAGACATGGCCAACAGCATGGAAGCGATGTGCCCCATAGAAGAGGGGCAAGGCCTACTAGGAATGGTCTTACAGACGCGAAGGGTGCAACGGGCAGTAGAATGTGAGTCCCAGCAAGGGTTACTGGCCAACACTGGGGGGATGCGAGCTAATGATGAAATTAAGTGCCAGGCTTTGGGTATGTTAACTCAGTCATACTTCAACCTATCTCTATGATGTAGGAATTCTTAATATCCCCATGTGGGGGAAATGAGACACAGGGAGGTTAAGAAACTTGCCTAAGGTCACAGAGCTAGCAAGCAGCAGAGGAGAAACTCACACCCAGGCAGTCTGGCTCCCAGACTCTGTCAGCTTAATCACTTCTCTACACTGCCCCCCATTTGAGGGCAGGGGCCTGCAGCAAGAGAGGGGCATGCCTGCTTGGCTGCCTTTGACACAGTTATGGGTGAAACTTACCTGGGGCGTGATTTGGTGACTTCTGGTGGTATAGCGTAGCGCATGCACATAAAGTGGTTGCCTCTGATATCTGGAGAGGGAGGAGGACATGCAAAGAGTGGACATGGTCCTAGGCACAGCAGAGGAACCATCCCCAGGGGGCTATCGTGGGGTGTGGCTTGGAAGCCACTGGTCAATCAGAAGGGGAGTGGCCTGTAGCCCTGGCCCCTTAGTGGGCAGGAATATGTAGTTGAGGGGCTTGGAAATTGTCTGGAAAGGTAGACGCAGCTAGGAGGCTGTTTACCCCAAAGTGAGACCAAGATGAGGGGGAGTGGCCTGTATCATGGTTTCCCCTAAAGAGCAGGGATATGTAGAAAATAGGAACTAGAAGAGCATCCATTGTCCCAGTAGAAGTAAGGAGGGGTGTGAGTTGACCTCAGCGTCCACTTGAGTGAGGGTGGGGCATGCAGGCAAAGGGGCGTGGCCTGTAGCGTGGTCCCTTTAAAGGGTGGGACTATGTAGATAAGAGAGCTTGAATGGCAGTTGTCCTAGTGGGAGTGAGACACTGCTAGGGGGCGTGTCCTGTCCTCTGAGGGTGGGGCCTAAAAACGTGCACTCCTCCCATACCGGGGCCATGCTATATAGATGAAGGAACATGAATGGCAGATCCTGTCCCAGGCTGGAGGTGGGCCTGAGGGCGGGGCATGCAGATGAAGGGCGTGGCCTGTAGCAATTCCCGAGAGAGTGGGAACTTGTTGCTTGAAGGACTGCTGTTGTCCCAGTAGTGGATGAGATACCGGTAGGGAGGCATGGTGTGGTCCCCACTGGTCACCACGGGTGGGATACGCAAGTGAAGCGGCGTGGTTCAGAGTGGAGCTAACCCCGCCCCCTCCCGCAGGATGATCCCATCCACCAGCCAGACCTTCCTGGTGAATGATCTGGCGGCGGGCCGCGCCTACGACCTGTGCGTGCTGGCTGTCTACGACGACGGGGCCACGGCGCTGCCGGCCACGCGGGTGGTGGGCTGCGTGCAGTTTACCACGGCTGGGGACCCGGCGCCCTGCCGCCCGCTGAGGGCCCATTTCCTGGGCGGCACCATGATCATCGCCATCGGGGGCGTCATCGTCGCCTCGGTCCTCGTCTTCATCGTCCTGCTCATGATCCGCTACAAGGTCTACGGGGACGG